CGTTTGCAACTAACGATGAACAGTCGCTGATAAAAACATTCGCGTGGTTAGAATCTTCAATGTTTGTCAAGAACAACAACACTTAATTGTTGTTTCCCATGTGTGCAATAAAAATAAGTAACAAAACTTTGTCTGAACTTGTTGGACTAGAGACCTACTGGAAACTTTTACAGGCTTTTTAATGAGAATAGAGAATGTTTTATCTGCAACTGTTCACCCTTAGTTGCCACCGACGGTATTTGACAGCATAAAATTGCCTGTGGCTGTGATAACTGATATAAATAAAATACAGTCTGGTTATGCTGACTTGAGCGTGTCATGACAAACTCTTTATTGGAAAATTGTGAAGAAATAGTCGAATATAGAGGGTCGAATATCATACTTAAACTTGTATAGCTACAGTATCATTGGTACATAACGTTGTGAAGACAAGCCTTTGCTTTAATACCTTTCGCTTCAGCAGTCTTTTTTTTCCATGCTTCTCTACGCTTTCCCAGGCGGGCTTCTCTTTCCTCAGCAGTCTCCTCGAGCAAACGTTGTCGTCTTCGCTGGCTCCCTCCTTTTCGCGAGACGTTCGGCTTTCTTTTCGTTTCCTTGCCGCTCTTTATTTGGCTCCATACAGTAGTCCATATCTTTTCAATTGGTATTTGATACCATAATTGTTTTATTAAACTCTTTATAGAGCAAATTGCTTTGAAAGCTGTCAAAGTTTTTTGCGAACGTACAAAATACTGCAGTGCAAAAAGCAAATTATTTTCATGAAGTATCTGTCAGTTGAAGTCGTGATTTGTCATACAACAACAAATCTTAAATTTGACCAATCAGCGTTCGCTATCCATGACAGTCCGCCATCTTTTTGAGATCAGTGAGGATGACCACCCACGCACAGTGACCCACGCCCGCGATATTTGATGAACTTTAGACTTGGCTAATGCTTTCGTTTCCCCGGGTGTAAATAGCCGGGGGGAATTAGTACCCTCGCACGGCGCTTCGCGCCGCCGGCTCGGGGATAAAAGTGATCAAAATAGACATAATATCCCTTATCAAGGTATTCCTTTAGTAAGTCAAAGACAACTCTATAAGCAAGTCCATGCTCAACTGCACCAGTATCTGATTTGCCAGTGTATATTTGAAATTGTAAACAATAGCCAGTCAAAGATTCACATAATGCCCATATTTTTATTCCGAACTTCTTTGTTTTTTTTTGGCATATATTGAATAAAGCTTACCCGGCACTTGGTTCCAATCATTTGCTCATCGATACTGAGGTTTCTTGTAGGGACATACAAAGATTTGAATGTTTGACATAACATTTCAGGAATACGACCCAACTTGAATAGCTTGTAACTGGGATGTACCCTTTCAGGTTGCATTGTATTATCTGCAAGATGCAAGTATCTACTTATCAGTAGAAACCTGGTTCTTGAAAAAATGCTAGAATACCATGGCATGGACAAAATAGGTTCTGTTCTCCAATAATCGAATACCTCAGGGAGATGTGTCATTCCCATTGCAATAACGACTCCCATAAATGCCATGATTTCTTCAACCGTCACATCTGTCCAAAGAGCTGGTGATGGTTTTGCATTTTGACACTGTTCTCGATATAAATTTGTCTCGGTCATTATCACTTCAAACATCTGCACAGTGAAAAACAATTTCAGGAAATCAAGTGGAGACTTTTGACCAGTTGCCAATCTGCAAGGACCTGGTATTTCATGAAATGGTGTTGCAATGTTTGGATTGTTATAAACACCAGCACCATCTTTCCAATTAGTATCACCATCCCTTTCCCCCTTTTTTTTCTCTTTGTTGATTTATTTTTTTGTCTTACCTTTCCTCGCCCACTTTTCCCTCGTCCCCGTTTATGTCCACTGCCATGCCCTCTTCCTCTGCCCGGCCTTCGCCCACAATGTTGATCACTTTTTTCCTGAGCACTTGAAGTTTGAGCAAGGCTATTTTCATTTTCTGAATCTGAACTATCTCCAATAATATCTGGATTCAGCTAAAACAACAAAATATTACTCAGTTCAGCTGCATAAAGATTTGTAACATTCATTCAGCATTTGTAACATTCACTGAAGCATTTGTAACATTCACTCAGCATTTGTTCTTTTTGTGAGTTGTGAACCCAGTACATACTGCATATCATTCACAAAATAGGCTGCATATCTACTCAAACTTGGAAATCATAGACAAAAATAATATCCCAAGAAACTAAAAAAAGGCAAAGAAATGCAATAATATATCACTAACCTCCTCATCTGGTTCTTGAAAAGATTTGGTCGGTCGCATGGGTCCTCTCTCAAGAGAGATACATTCTCGTCGTCAATGAACTGAATTCTCAACTCATCCTCATCTCTTACGCTTTCTATATCTTCTTCTAAGGCAGAAGATTCGTTGTTTGTAGAAAACTCGCAATCTGACGCTAAAACCTCGTCAAGAATTTCATCTAATTGCGTCTGAGAATTTGTCGCCATTTTCTTTATAACCCAAAATGGCGAGCGAGCGGCGCAAACTTTAAATGAGACGAAATTTCAGCGGAATTATTTACGCAAAAAGGAAAGAACGTCATGTTAGCAAGAATATTTCTGTCATATAGTTTGCTAAACCTTTCTATCCCTTCTTATCCAAAAATAAGGGTAAAAATCCACATATATCCCATCAGGGTCGTTAACGACCATTTTGGTAGCTAAAGAGTTAATGTGCATTGAATAATTGCTTTCATTAAAGAAAAGCCAAAGTAATAGTGGCTGCATAAAGAGCAGAGATTCAGTTTTAGATTGGAATATAAATACTTATAGTAACAGTTGCAACCAGTCATAATTATCAACTTGCAGCATATAACAATATATCCTGGAGGGCCGTGCTCCCTTCTTCATCCACCCTGATTTCTGCAACTGAATGTCATTGTCAAGAACACCAGGCAAGCAATTTATATCCCCCATCACCTATCCTATACTATATTGTCTTATAATCAACAACAACCATATGTCATAATGGGATCTTTTCTAATATTAAATATAATATAATTTTCTAATATAAAATATTATTGCCTGGATCTGGTATGCTGAATTATATCATTCTATTCAAGAACTATATGCATCGATTATACACGTACTTCTAATTTCCCATACTTGTCATCATTTGTTGCTGATGAATGACTTTCAATATATGACCTATTTGATATATTTACTAGGCATAAACAGTTGATTTGTGTGCCACAAACCCTGACTATGACATTTTCTAAAATGAAATAGATCAATTATAAACAGCAGAAATGTTGATGTTATGTATCAATTATGGTATAAAAAGGCTTTCAAAACTCTGCAAATGTATATTGGCACCACCTGTTATCCTGACAACTTCTATGCATCTACAACGTTCTCACATGCCTGCTAAAGTTTATTATGAACTATCAAGAAGATTTGGAACCCGAAATGTTTTAAAAAGAACACAGGGATGG